CTAAATATATTTTGACTAGGATAAGAAGACAGTGAATTAAGTTAGAAAACAACAACATGGTGTTACAAAACTAGGATAAGAAGACAGTGAATTAAGTTAGAAAACAACTACATGGTGTTACAAAACTAGATTTTCTTTCTTCTGAGACCTAGGCTGACTCGCTGACTCATAGAGTTGATGAGTAAGCTCGAGCCCAGGTGGTGAGACAGATCTGTCATCCTCAGGAATATCGGAGAGAAAACCCAGTCACTGATAGAAACATATCATTGATAACTGGAAAATTATCACATTGATGCAGCACATACTCAACAAAACCATACCAGAAAATCACATATCACTAATCTATTTGCCTATAAATATCATTTTGATCAGGTCAATTTTTTGTTGCAGCTGAGTCTAGATTATTTCCTGTGCATTGAGAGAGTACAGCTCTCTGCATGTGTCTCTAAATGTATTCCTGTTTGTATAAGGGTCACAAAAAAATAATATCAATAAAAAACAAAATCTCTGGGCAAAGAAATAAACAGTTCAATAACAGGGTAAGCTGTATCTGTATGTTTTGTGTGGGAACTCCTTTATTCAAATATTTTCCATAATCGGCACATGGTGTAGAGGACATTTCCTGTCTGGGATGTGCCTGTACAAATTTTACGATTGTTTGATAGTTAGACACTTCATTAATCCATGTCAGTATTGTTTGATCACCTGAAGAAAGTAAAAATTTTCCTCCCTCCTGAGTTTTATTGTTCCTCCAGAGTTTTTATTGTCCAAATCTGTTAGAAAACTTTTTCTTAGGAATTTCATTGAATTCAGTTTAAATGAATTAGAGGGAAAAACGACATCCTGCTCTTAATGTATTTACATTTAAGTTTGGAGTAGTTTTAGGCTGAATAAAATGAATACAATCAATGTGGTAATTTTCTTGACTTAAAGCACTGCAAAGGCCAGGATAGGAAGAAATTACCAATCCAACATAAAATATTCTGTGTTGTAGATGCTCAGCAGAATCACATATTGTCTGATCTGTATCAAGCTGTTATGTAGTAGGGACACATGAATGTACAAGAGATCAAATAAACAACACTATCTGCAGTGTATGCTCTGTCTTATATTTCTTCTCTCAGATAGATATCTGGGCCAGCAACATCACAGTGTCAAGGCTTTATGACACAACCTTGATATGGCCTTGACCTTTTAGCCATGTTTCTTAGATACAAGCAGTAGCTCTACAAATTAAGACTCATTCCTGTAAAAGGAATGTCTCCATTACAATAAATGTAGTCTCAGGACTGATGATATAGTGACCAGACCTACAGAACAATAATGAAACCAACTTTATTATTGCTTTTGAAATTTTATGTGAAGATCAAGGGGTTTTGAACTTTTTAAGATGATCACTTTTTCTCACTGAATAAGCTAGGTCTTAAGAACTTTGACCATTAAATTATGGGGAATCAAATTTGATTAAAAAAGAATCAATAAAGGTCAAAATTGACTGCTTCTTCTTGTATATTAAGTAACAGCTTATGTGCACTTTTGATGTGTAATTGTTTAATAGCCTGACAGTAATGGGAAATGATAGCCCTTTGTTGCAGAATATCCCTTTGAACTAATGAGTTATTGAATATAATTTCTTGTGATCCTGATAGTCATAGAATGGTAAATCTGCTGTGGTCGTGTGTAATCTTGTGAGTGGGATGGTAAATTAGGGAGAGAAAAGTGAAACTGAATTTCATCTGGTCATCTAAAACATGGGTGAAAATGTTCTGGTCGACCTTTGATTGGGTGTGACAGTGGGTTTCACTTAATCCAAAATGGTTAATTGGATAATTTAGCTATTTCAGTATAATATCAGAGCACAAAACCATTTTTTAATTTCACCTAATATTCTGATTAGAAAGTATTGCATTTCTATTTTTTCTAATAAATGTACAGAAATTTGGGCTATCATAGTGTTTTTTGGATAATCGTTCATGGAGCTATTGGCTATTTCAATAAGGTGATATTTTGATAAAATTTCCCTGACAACCTGACTGTCAAATTAAGCTAAACCCGCTGTATTCATGCAATTAATCCAAGGTTTGTAATAGATTGTGATCCATGTGATGAAAATCCTGATATTATGCATGACCAACATACTTAGACTGTTTCTTTTAAGGAGGAATATTTAACAAAACACTTTCCTCCTTTTCTTTTTAATATCAGAATTTTTATGCATAAACTTTAACCTTGCCCATAACTTTTGATTGGTCATAGGTAGGACTTTTGTATTTCACATGTATATTCCTTGTGACAATACACGTGTACCTTTCTTTGTGTACCAACATATTTGACCTCTTGACCTAGAGCTTAGTGTTTGACCCATTTTGCAAAATTTTACAAAACTTTAACCTTGGCCATAACTTTTGAAAGTTCGATGCTAAGAGTTTAATACTTCACTTGTGTATTCCTTGTGATAACATATTTCCTTGGGTACAAATACTTTTGACTTTTTGACCTTGACCTTGGAGTTTAAACTACTTTTGAATTTTTTGACCTTGACCTTGGAGTTTAAACTACTTTTGAAGACTTTAACCTTGGCTAATAGTTGGAGCTAGGCTTTCATATTTCACATGTGTGTTCTTTATGACAAGACCTTCCCTTGGGTACCAACAATTTTGCCCCTTTGACCTTGACCTTGGAGTTTGTTCTTTATGACAAGACCTTCCCTTGGGTACCAACAATTTTGCCCCTTTGACCTTGACCTTGGAGTTTGATATACTTTTGAAAAACTTTAATCTTTGCCATAACATTTGAATGGTTGATGTAAGGGCTTTCATGTTTTCATTGTGACAAGAACTTTCTTCATGTACCAACAACCTTGACCTCTTGGCCTTGGAGTTTGTCCTACTTGAATGTAATAAAACTTTAACCCTGGTCACAATTTTGAACGGTTGGTGCTAGGCTTTCATATTTCACATAATTATTCCTTGTGATAAGACCTTAAATTTCCTTGGGTACAAACATTTTTGACCCTTTTACCTTGACCTTTGAGTTTGACCTACTTTTGTAAAACTTTAACCTTGACCACACATAATTTCTGAGTTGTTGCTGCAAGGACTTTCATATTTCACAGGTGTATTCCATGTGACAAGACCTTTCTTTGGGTACCTTGTTGTTTCTTGACCTTGGAGTTTGACTTGCATTTGAAAAATTTTAACATTCACCATTAGCTGCCACACAGGGACATCATTGTTTTCACAAAGTACATATTATGTTGAATTTATGATATACAATACATAATGTGTAAATATGTATTGTTGCTAAACTATGATTACTATCATCAGTTTATGAGAAAGATTGAGTATTAATTTATATTAGTTTACAGTAACTTGACGTTCAGTATGACAAAAGAGCAAATGCATTTAAACTGTAAATATTTTATGTTCAGAGATTAATGTTCATGTACCTGTAATATTTTGATTCTTTTGTAGTTGAAGTTTGAGTCTTAGAAGGAGATTTTTAATTCAAGTAAACTCTTAAAATTTGAAGTGATAGGAGTAATTTCAGCACTATATTATCAAGCTTAAAATTTTTGCCTTGAGAGTTTTCAATGTTTATTGAATCATAGCTATTTCTTTATCAAATTTTGATGCTAAGTTTGAAATACATGAAGTAAAATCTAATTCTGAACCAGCTATAAATTTTTAAGATGTCTTTTAAATAAGATTAGTATGCCTTAAAAGTACATGTCATGAAACCCCTCCAGAAATGTTTTTTTGAGTGTTTTATCTGAGAGTTTCAGGAAGCAGTGCGTTGATCAGAATTGTGATTGCTTGATTATCTGCGAAATTTAGCAGGTCCCTGGAGACGGAGATGATGTAAATGTATAATCTGTTCATTGACTGCTCATTACATTGTTCATTAATCTGTTCATTAATTACTTTCCTGCAATGCATATGTCAGCTTCTATTTCCCATTAATTGTTAGTACAGAATTAAGATAGTCCAGTCTCTATCCCAGGATTAGCCGCTCTACAGCATGACGTAGAATATATATGGGTCTGTACTTCTAGTGTCAGTCAATAGACTTGTACATCTACTGTGAGAAATGAGAAACTGTCTGGACTGCTGCGAAGTCCTGGATTGGTAAAATTAATTACAGAACAGTCAATGTCCTATAGATTATAGTAGACTTGGTTGTGTCTTCGTTGTTTTTTTTTTCAATTATTTTAATTTGAGTCAAACTGTTTCCATGCTGAGAGAATTAATGAAGTTTTTTTTTCTGTCAATATCTACCCAGTCTAATAAAAACATTTCAATTAAATATTGTAAGCTTTATTAAAATTGGATAAAAACCAGTTACTGTAAATTTGTCTTTGAATGGACAATTGTCTTTTCTGAGTATTGGAAATCCTAACATTAAGATAAGCTTCATTTCTCCTAGTAGCCTGTTAATCAACCACAGCTAAGTTCAAGTTTTAACAAAATTTTTGTAATGGGTTTTATTGTTGTTTAAGTATATTTCTTATTTCATACAGACTAATGTTATAAAATGTTTGACAAATTTCTCCCAATTACACACATCCTACCTTTTTAAAGTTTAAAATGAGGAGACGTTTAGTCAGGGTAGGGTCGGATTACAGGTGTGTGACTGATGCTCCCTCAGGACCCAGTTTTACATGAGAATTCTGTCACTAAATAACCTACCATTAAAAAGCTCTGACTTCACCTTAATTACACCTGACTACTCAGCTGCCACAGGTACACAGAAAGTGGCCTGATTCTGTAAGTCTTAGAGTGTGGTAGGATTATACAGATCCTGTGATGTTGTAACAGGCTGGTACCAATAACACAGAAGATCTGCTGTTAGTATTTGTTGTGAAGTCAGTGCAGGACATGTTTGTTGATGTTTTGTGGCAATAAGTGGGAAGCTGGGATGCTTCTGGTCAAAGACCAAGCATGGTAGTGTGTTGTACAGATATCCAGTGATTCATCAGAGGCTGTTGTCAGATTATATATCCACTCCATCTGAAGGCTGGATCACTCCGATCAGTCTAGTGTAAGACAGTCTGATCAGCTACATAATGAAGTGGGGGAGGATTAAATGACCCCTGTCTCTGAGGACAAAATTTAAATTGAGCCATCCATCAGGAGAGAGACAGCTAAGGTGATTGTGTCTACAAGTGTTAAGGAGAATAAACCTTGTCCACCAGCCTCTGAAAAGTGAGGTGTACTCTCTTTTTTTGTTCACCTTCTTTGAGAATAAATTTGAGAATCACTGCAGTACAGTATTTCTTTCTGGAGTATTCTTTTATTGCAAAGGATCTTTTTAAATGTGTTTTGTCTGGATACCAGCTAGGGGAATTATTTTGACTGGATACTCTAATGATGGAAGCTGAATCAGATCTTTAGATCTTGTTAAATTCTCTCAGGAGTAACTCTACTCAGAAATGTAATTTTGTGATTTGTCAGCCTGGTTTTGACTTTAATCTTCAATGGGATTCTACAAAATTGTGGAATAAAATTCTGATCTGTCACTGATTGATTTTAAGAACTGACCTTGAATGGTGGAAAAACATTTACAGATCAGAAACTTGCTAATCAATGAACATGATAGGTTAAGTCTATAAAGACGCTAATAAAATGACATTTTTAACATGCATAAGAAACTAAGGCCTCTTTGTTGAGATGTATTTCTGAATTAATTAATTTATAATAGAATGCAGTGCATGTTGGGCTCAGCACTTAGTTATACAATTGAAGGAGATCGGTGAACTTTGATGTTACAAACACTGGACAGTTGGCTTGTCTGGAATAAAATTGAATGAAGTGGACGTCCAAGGCTGGACAGAATGAGGAAGCTCTGGAAATAATCCCAGGGGCCTGGGGGATTCAGAAAGTCAATACATTCAAGTGAAGACAGATTGGACTTGCAGGCCAACCAGGTTGTGCTTCTGAAGCGTTTTATTAAATTGACACACAGTGTTGGAGAATGGAGGCTAAAAACACTGGGAATTAAAGCTATCAGGAAAGTTAGTTTGTTAGTTTTTAAGAAGTTTGGTATTGAATCCTTTGAGTGATCGTCATGCCGCGTAAAGGGAAGTACGAGATTGAGGCTTATAAGTACCACTACTGGAACTGTTTGTGTTGTTGGAAAGTCCAGCAGGAAAAGTAAGTCCTAAAGAAGCAGGGTAAAAATAATACAAAGTAATCTAAAGGTCAATGCTTAAATTAAACCAGAAATTATTAATTTTTTTTAGATTAACAAAAAAATTACAGAAACAATTTAATAAATACATTTATGACTGCCACTGACATGAAACATTAATTTTTTATGTGTTTAGTAAACAAATTCAAGTTAAGTTCTGTTATTTATCATTGTCTAAATCTGTATCAAAAAAGTATGGAATGTGAACAGTTTGGTTCACATAGCAGTTTGGTTATGTTCACATCTCCCTGGTGTAAGTTAAAAAATGAACTTTTTGTCTCGAGAATATATTTTTATTTCATATATCAAATGGCTCTCCCGTTGAATGAATATCAAAGCTAAGCTGAATTATTCAGAAGAATCATAATATTATTGGTCTCTGTTAAATAATAAACTAGTGAGAAATTATTGGGCAGCTACGTAGTATTTGTACTGATTGTATTTATATATATATGATACATGTATATGTAATATATGCTACAGTACACAGCAGCTTGTTGATGCTGTCTATCTCAGATATGTGTTTATATTTATGGGGTATATCACTGTTTTGTTTATTGATAAAAGCCACATGTCTACTGACCCTGTTGTTACTAGGAAGAGAATCGGATAAGATCAGAAAGGAGGGGGGAGGGAGAGTAGAATCTGATAAAATAAGAAAGGAGGGGAAAGGAGAGCATTGGTCTAGATCTGAGACTTGCTTACATGTATAAATAAGGCAGCATATTTGATGCACAAAAGGGGAGGAGTTGTCAAATGATATATAACTAGTTGGATGCATGTTGGTGGGGGTGGTTGGGGGGGGGGGGTCGATACTCAACAAGTGAAGAATGTGAGGACGGTGGTGTTTTGTTTTTTTTGTTGTTTTTTTGAAGGGGGGGGGCAGATCCAGGATTCTTGAAAAGGGGAGGGCACAACCAGTTTTGGATTGGTGGGAGAGCAGGAAGCCCCCACAAGCTTCAGGTTTTAGGAATTTTTTTTTTTTTTTGAGTATTTTTTTTACTTATATTAGCTATATTTTAGGTATAATTAATGCAATTTCCCACACACCAGAAAGTTTGACTTATGCATGTTATGTATATTTTGGTCACAAGGTCAGGGGGGTTGGGGGGTTGCCTTCCTGTCCCCCTTTAAATCTACCAGTGGGGGATATGATGGGGGGGCTTCTTGTCCCCCTCTAAATCTACCAGTGGGGGATATGATGTAGGGGGAGGAGGGAGTGTTACCTGATACAGGACCAGTAGGGGTTATATCATAGAGAGAGTTGTACTGTAATACTGGTGTGAAGTGTGGTTGCAAGGCTCAGATTACTAATGTTAATTACTGGCATTATCTCCGAGGGTGATCTATAGCTATGGATGGGGATAAACCACACTGGTCAAGTGGCCAGACAACAGACGGCTCCCAGGTTAATGTAATTAGTTAAGTCAATTGTGGGCCTGATCATTGATTTATATGAAGGGATATCGGTCATTAACAAGGTCAATCTAGAACTGATCAATGTCCTGCAATTTATAATTAAACCATTACATTAGTTTAATAGTTTGTTAAGCCAGATAAAAAGCACTCTGTTCATTAGAGATTCAAGTTAACATTTTTAAAGGTTTGTTGAATTTAGACAAAACTTAATGAAAGACCTGGATATTGATCCTGAATCTTACCTGCAAATCTGTAGAAATTATAAAAGAATGGATTAGCTATTCTCTGGATTCATTCTGTTGATAGTAGTGTTTGCTTGAAGAACATTTTATTATAAACAAATTAATTATATATTTTGCATCCCATTCCTTTTGTCACTTTGGTTTGTGTGTGTGTTTTTCTTTTAGTCATTGAATTTGTTTTTCAGAAAGAAATAATAATTTGAGGAAACTGAAAAGAAAAACTTTGTAATTGTTGCTTTTTACAGTTACATACATTTAAGCTAGCTTGGAGGGTTTTGATCTGAATATGATCTTTGGGACTCCTCTCTGATCAGAGTAAAAAGCATGCTACATTAGTCAGATGTAATCACTGTAATACACATGTAGACATGCAGGGTGACGTCGTATCTGATGTAGGAATACATAACATCTCCTGTACTCCCTACAGAAAAATGTCAGCCGTATATAGTACCTTGTATATCCAACAGCCTAAGCACTTAGTACACTTGGAACATGGTGCACTCAGTTATCTAAAAATAGATATATTAATCAGTCTGAACAACCTTCAAATTTATTAATGAATGCAAATGTAATCATATTTTGATTTAGTTATACCACTTATAAAACAGCTGAATATGAACTTGATATGTTAACGAGGAATAATAGATTAAAAGGACGTATCACTCTGGTACAGGAAAATAGAGATTCAATAGCGCTGCAGGAGTTATCTATCTTAGAACATTTCTTATATGTGATATTTTTAGGGATGATAAGTTAAATAAAGGGTAGAAATTTTTATTTTTAGGCCGTTAACATTGAATTGATATTCAGAGTTCAGCATTCCAATCCTATTTATACTGATTTAAATAATATAAAAGATTAAATAACTAAATATCCATTGCTCGGTAATTACAAAGAAAAATATGCTGAGCTCTGAGAAATGCTAAATAGAATTAGGCACAGTACTGGCTTAGCATTAAAGTCAGGATTACAGGGGCACCGCAGTCAAGTAATCCCCCAGTCACAGAATTCCCTCAAATATTTGTAAGGTGCACCTTATACTTATCTGCTTACTGATGTCGATTGGTTTAAGTTAAATCACTTGATCACATTGGATTGGTGGCGATTTAAGTTAATACAATACTATACTGTCAATGGGATCACTAACAGGTGAAATTGTCCAAGGTTTTGTGGTGAAGTTTATCAGGTTTCTCTATTTTTTGGAGCACAGTCAAATTGTCAATATCAGTTCTGATTTTACTGCAACATGTGGTCTTCTCACAGTTATAGTGAATTACACTGCCAGTATACAGCTATAGGCCTCGCAGTATTCTCTCCAACAGGGTGCGTGGTGAGGTTTTTTATCTCGTAATTCTCATCTAATTAAACAGAGGAAATGGATTGATAGCAGTTTTTTCATCTCTCTATATTGCTACATTGAGTGTAGATCCTGTGATAATTCGGAGAGTCTTACAACTTTTGACCAGTTCCTTTACTTGATGTATAAAAGGAGTCTGAGGGTTATCCAAGCTTAGTACAGTATAATGTTGTGTGATATCATTGACGATTGATTCAGCAATGATTAATGTGATGAGAGAAGCAATGATTTGTTGATGATAGTGGAGATGATTATTCTGATGATGTAAATGACCCAGATATTAATGGCTTATTTGTGGCAGAAGATGCTTAAACAGTGGAAACAGTCCAAGTAAGTTAAATGTCTTCAATGATGACTTAATTAGTATACTGTTGTACTGTCTACATGTGGAAGAATTAATAGGTATTAATGTTTCTCCCACCCTAATATAAGTATCACAGTATAACACTGTTGGCATACTCTCTATGTTTTTGTGTTTAAATTAGTAAAAGTGGATCTACATGATGCACAGTGGAAAAGCTACATTGTCATGCAAAAAAGCCTAGTGACCCCCCCCCCCCAAAAAAAAAAAAAAGAAAAATTTAACTGTTTTATACTCTTGCAATACTTTTTTCTTTGACCCAATTCTGGCAAAGATTGAAAAGAAAAACACTAACATAATACAAGCAGATATCTACCAGTATATACAAAAATAAAATAGGATAATCGTTAGTGCAGATTTAAGTACTATTTAATGACATGTTTTACTGTGGTAGAGATGCCATATATCATTTAACTTCCTGTATATGGTACAGTGAAACTTGTCTATTATCGATATTGTGACTATTCTGAAAACTTGCCTAATACGATTTAACTTTAGGTCCCTTTCAGTAAGTTCAATTGTTTAAAATGTTTTCTTATCCAGAATATTGTCTAAACTGTCTAATTTCTTATGACCGAGTGTTGTCCAGTCTGATTAGATAAATTTCACTGTATTATTTATCATTGTATGTCAGTGAATGCATAATTGTATTGAAGGTCTGATGACATGTTTTGGTTTGTATTTCTTATTTAAAATATACAACAAATTAATCATTGATTATTATCCCGTGATTTTTAAACTGTTTTCAAAATGTCTAAGTTGATAAAGACACCAAAATATTGTGATATTGACAATGCTTGTGATTTCTAATAGGATTATATAGCAAATAGCATCCTCTGGTATCTTACACAAATGTCTGGTAAGGTACCTTAATTTTTTGTGAGTAAGCTTGTTAAAGTAGCAATACTTGAATGATAAAATCTTAGAAAAAAACAATATGTTAGTGGAATGTGTTATTAACCTTAATTGACCTTAATCGGCTGAGATTCAGTTGATATGAGAAGTAACATTGGCCTTACCTGCATATCTATGTCATTATCATGTCTTATTTTATCCATCAAAATTATTTGTCAAGAATTTTCAAAAAAAGGATTTAAAAAAAAAAAAAAGGATGTGGTGTGATGATGATATATGCTATTCCTGATTTTATTAATAAGTGCTTGCATGTTTTCTGTTTAGCTGAGGCAGCTAGAACTGACACCAATAATGAAGTGTTGATCTAATGGCCAAGTAATTAGGATCATTTAATGGTGATCATATATATACAGTTGAACTTGGTTATCTTGAACACTGATATACAAGGGATATGTGAAGTAACTTGACAGTCCCACCACTTTTTAGCTCACCTGAGCTAAAAAGGCTCTAGTTAGCTTTTCTGATTAAAATTTGTCCGTTGTCTGTCATTGTTGAAGTTGTCATCTTCTTCTCCAGAACCACTGGGCCAATTTCAACCCAAAATTGGAAAAGAGTATCCTTAGGTAAAGGTTATTCAAATTTGTTCTTATGAAGGGCCACACCCTTTCCCATGGAGAGAAAAAGTAAAAATTGGGTGGTGTCACTTAAAAATCTTCTCAAGAATCTCAGGAAAGATGAAAGTTATGTGAAAACTTCCTGACATAGTGTAAATTCAAGTTTGTTCAAATCATGACCCCTGGCAGACAGGGGCCACAAATTGGAATCAAAGTTTTGTATAGGCATATATAGAAAAAAAATCTTTAAAATCTTTTTCTCAAGAACAGCAAATCCATGTTTAGTCATATTGATATGGAAGTATCTTGAAGTAGAGTAGACTCAGGTTTGTTCAAATCATGACCCAGAAGAGTACGGTGGGGCTACTTCTATAAAAACATGACACCTTGGGGTAGGGTGGGGTCACAAACAGGGATCAAAGTTTTACATATGAATATATAATTTAAAAAAATCTATGATAAAGAAAAGCAGGGCCATGATTGGCTTAGGTGAACATTGTGGCCCATGGGCCTCTTGTTTAAATTTTCCCTGAGACTGAAATAACGATTTTGCTTCCTTAAATAAAATTGTTAAGATCTTACCCTTCCAGCTATTAAATAGGTAAATATGATCCTTTTTGGGAAGTTAAATCATTCATAGACTTCTTAAAAGCAGTGAAAGTACAACAGTGTCAAACTATTCCTATAAATACTGGAAAGGATAATGAATTTTAATAGGTTATTCACCACACAAAATCAAGTCTTTCAAGTTTCCTTATGGCCTTCAAATCATTCACATTTTAAAAAGAAAACTTTAGCCATGTCCTTCAAATTTAATTCTTAAAAGCAAATCTCTCAGTTCCTCGGCTTAATCAAGCTCCTTTGATAGGGGGAAACATTTATTTTGTCTGTGAAATCTTCTGATTAGAAGCCAAATATCTGCAGACCTGTGGGTAACACGTACACACATAATTTATCTGTGGCCAGAACCTGAATCAATAAGCTCCTGGAGGATATATATAGGAAGGAAGCAGCATATAACTGTGGACAGACATGGTTCTATAATTGGGATTTTATGAGATTTGATTGTCGACCAGTAATTATGATCCGTGATATTGTTTATCTCACTGAGTAAGTAAACACTCGTTTGCAGTATGCTCTCTGAATCATGTCAACCTGTAAATTTTACACAAGATTCTGAAATACTTTGTAAAGTTTAAAGTCCCTGAAGTTCATAAATGATATTTTAGGTTTAACTTTAGTACATTTGACATGTGCTTTTGATGATTGATTGTTTATTAACATGGGGGCTGAGATTTTAAATTGATTAAATAACAAGTAGCTAGCTCATTCTAATGAAATAAGATTGTATTAACCATATACAAGAGAGTGTGTTATTCTGTTCCAGAATTTCACTTGACATTTTGACCTTGACATGTTTTTTTAAAGTAAAAAAATAATGCTAGTGTTCTAATTTTAAACAAGGATGGATTATTTTATTTCCTTAGTGGAAGTAGATTGTTCTTTGTATGAAAAATAAAAAAGGAACAATGAATAAGATGAAATTAAGGAATGTAGTTGCTATTGTATATATTAAATATTGTATATCATAAAAGTTTGGTTCAGTAAGCACCTAAATTTTCCATAATTTACTAAACATAATAGACAGCTTACTGTATCAAAACTAAAAAAATTGGGAACTTATGATTTCAATAATTCAGACAACTTTTAAACTTTAAAGCTTGAAATGATAAGTCACAAGAACATCTAATTTTCCTTTGTTACCTCCCCTGAAATGTTATAAAGGTGATCCCCCCCCCTTTTTCCATTTTTTTTAATAACAAACTTGCATAATTTCTGTTTTAGTTGTTTACCCTTTAATTTTTCTCTTGTACCTCTTGTACCATTGATCTTTTAGGCTCCTCAAACATGTGTTCATAAGTATATCTAGACACTACAATACCTCTTATTCTAGTCTTATGTATTGTCATGTTACATCAAGGATTATCTCCCTTTTATGTGGCAGTGACATGTAATGGGAGACTGTTTTAGATGTAAGATATGTACATCAGATGTATGGAAGAGAAATTACAAAAAAAACTAGTGCAATGAGACGTATAATGACAAACAAAGCAATTATTTTTTATCTCACTTTCTAAGATATCGCACAAAATAATGCATCTGTTCAGAGTCTCGCAGATTTAATGCCCATATAATTACCAAGTTTTCCCCATCACAAGAAGAAGCCATGTCTTTGAAGAAACAAAAGATATGTACAATTTTATACAAGTATAAAGAAAAAAAGGTGATAGGCATTTGGGCTCCATTAATTTTCTATAAAGAGTGTGCAATATTTCTGATGGCTACCACCAGGCTGCACAAGTTAGCTTTCCCAGGATTTTGATGAATTGCAGACATATTTTAGTATAAATTGCCAGATTAACGTAAATGTTAAGTACAAACAGGAATCATCTCAGTATTCTCAGCTCAGGAATGTACAGAAGAGGAGTATAGTTCATATAGCAGGGATTCTGAAGGGAAAAAATTATAAATACATGCTGGTATAGATGGCCAGCCATTAATGAGTGTCCTCAAAGAGGAAAATTCATCAGACCATTATTACAGAAGACCTGCTACAGCTTGAAATGCAGGACTTGAAATACATGCATGTAATAACATCTATATTAGGCTGACAGCTGCAGAGAATTCCATGTATAACATAAAAGAAAATTGCTATAGACCAAAAAAACAGACAATAAATTAGTGTTATTATGTAGTGAAATTTTCTTAATTTCACAGTGTTAACATTTGTTTTGATTGATGTAGCCATGATGACATGATGAAAGCTGCAGGCATTTTATAACTATTTAAGATTATTCATTTAATCCATTGAAAATCAGACCTCCAAAGTCCTTTTAGGTTGAACAAATGTTAGATAGTTTTGTCAGTTGTATTACCCCCCCCCCCCCCCCCCGCCAAAAAAAAAAACAAAACAAAAAAAAAAACAATATTTCGGTAAAAGTACACTGGTATCACTGTTTCCAGTTGTCTTGCTGTCTTTGGACATCTTTTGTACAGAAATTACCTCGTAAATTTGTAGATATTTCCTTTCTTTTTGTAGATTTTAAATCTGTATACCTGGTATGCTAGTATTATTTCCGTGAAATTATTCAGAAATGTAAAAATCTTGTACAGGTGCATTGGGGATTGATTGTAGTATTTAAAAATAGAGAAAAGTTATTCATTCATTCATGACTAAGGTATATAAGATTAACACCTATCATTTGGACAAGGTCAAGGTCACTGCACTGAGATGTGAGATGCAAAGGTAGCAGTATTATGACCAGAGAATGTATCCTTGAGTCAAGTTGATTTAGAATCTTGTTTTGGCTGTGTCACATTTTAATGCTCATCACTTTCAAACAAGAAATTTAATTAAGTTTTCTCATGACCAGACCAGAGCTAGCAACAGAAGTTTCACCAATGTCAAGGTCATCTATGGTCTATGTTTTTTTTAATGACAGAGTTCTAAATTGATTCCAAATGTGCCCTCTGTTGAGTTGGTTTATGGGTACATGTATGTTAGGTTGACAGCTAGCTGTTACATGTATCTAGTTAGGACCAATTTCTGTATAGTAGAGATTTTTTGAGTCTGTAGGCTCTGTTGATTGTACTGCTTCATTGCATTATTTGAATAAATAAATAGGTAAAAAGTAAAACAGTTTGGAAGAAGATGCATATTTTATCATATATGATGCATTTTAAATCTGTTATTTCTATTTGCAGATGTGACACAGCCCTGAGCCTCAAGAGCTACAAGTAAGTCATATATACTCATCATTCTTAATAATAAAATTATGTAGTTCATTCAGTTCAACTTAGTATACAGTAAAACCTTGTTATCTCTATGGAACCAAGAAAAAAATTCAAGATATTGAGGTTTGAATACATATGAAGAAAAAAAGTGGTTGGAACTTCCAAATCACTTGGCATATCCATGGTTATTCAAGATATCGATGTTTGAGATCACAAGTTAAACTGTATTTAATCAGACTGCAGGTTAAGGTTTATATATACAGTTGAACTTCGTTATCTCGAACACAGATATCTCGAATACCATGAATATGTCGAAGTGATTTTGAGTTCCCAACTGCTTATTCCTTAAATATTTTACCCCGGATATCGAATCCTCAGTTATCTCGAAGTATTTTCTCGGTCCCTTCGAGTTCAAGATAAGGAGGTTTGACTGTATGTAAACTGTGTCACTTTGTCTGTCTAACTACTGCTGTCGATCAGCTTTGTTCCATTTGCTGTATACTGCAAGAGACACGCATCTGAGCTTGTAGTTGTATGTAACAAACAACAATAGTTTCTGTTCTCCATGCAGTTGTAATGTTTTTGATTATTTTCTCCCTTTTTTTTATAACTGTATTAGAATCCTCAGTGTAATGCCTGTAATAATTGTAAAAAGAATCCATCACTCACACCCCTTTACATTTTGATGTTTTTCCTTTAAGATTGCTTAATAATGATTTAAGTTAAGTTCATCATTTTATGAACTACCATTTGGAACAGGATCGTACAACTTTTCCTTTCTGATGTGCCACTTACTGTGGAATCATTTTACTTTCTGGGGTCAATGTTTGTGGGTAATCCAAATTTTACTGATTCATGGGGACATATTTTCATGGGTAACTTGAATGTATACAGAAGATTTGATGAATAGGTAATATGTATGACAAACTTTTTTTGCTTCTAAGGATGACCCATAAAAACCACGAACATTGATTCCCCAAAGAATGATGATTCCACAGTAATTATGATGTTACAAATTATAACTGCCTGTGTGAGAAATTCATAATCAAGAATAAATGAAAATGAATTCTGTTACTTGAGATGTTCAGGAAAATAACAACAGGAATTGGACAAGGAGTCCTTAGTACCACGTGCATGTTTCCTTTGATCTAAAGTTCTGCTTTCTGTCTTCAAACAAATCTATTGGAGGAGAAAGCATTTATTACCTTACAAAAGAGAGTTGTTTTGAGATATAATTTCACTGTGTGAATATTCCTGCTCAGTTTCCCAGAGAACCAGCAATGTGCTAAAAGGTGAGAGCAGTACAATTCCCTGTAATAGAGCCCAGATTGCTCCAATTAAATTCTCTGAAGCATCCCCCTCACAGGTGGTGTGGTACCACATGCTGGAAATCATAGACATATAACACACAGGCTTCTCATACAGTCAGTAACCTACAAATTCAGTGTAAGAGTTAATTAGCACACAGTATCAGGGTGTTTTTTTTTTTTTTGCTTAAGGAGGGTTTCTCATTTTGTGGCTTTCATGGTGACTTTAATTTTTTCCTGGTTAGTGGAAGTTCTAGCATTGCCTTAGGTACTGTTAAATGGTATGTATGAAAGTATTTTTCAAGTCCTAGAGATTTTTTCCCCTTCTTTTTTTTATCAGTTGAGTGTGTTGATGGGAGAATATAGAAATTATAGGATGGGACAGATCATTGACAGTTCTGAAGCAGACAAAACGTCCCTGGGGTTGTGATGTAATTAGACAAATTCCAGCGATTGCTCTCTGGTGTGTACTGCTGGCACAGTTCTGTATACATCCATGTCAGAACAGCATCCCTATACAATCTGTCAAATGTCCACAGACGAGAATTCAAACTATTTGCTTTTGTGTTATTCTAATGTCACATGACAACATACATTTACTTTTTGACATATTTTATGATTTTATGGTACATCAGTTTCTCATAATGTATGTGGTAGTTATTACATAAATCTAAATTTGCGTCATAATGCAATGCAAACTAAGCACCTAAGGGACCTGCATATAATTCAAATTCATGGTTGATTTTATCAGTGTTTCTGGTTTCTTTTCTCTTTTTATTGTCGGTGTGAGGGAGTGGGACTATTGTAATGTATAGATAGTAAAAGTCCTACGGTCCTGATGGGAGGGATTGATATGTAATGAGGATACAGACTCACTTGCTCACTCGAGTCGATGGTGTCAAGCACCTAACACTCAGCATAGGGATAGTCTTCATGTGTCGGTGAATCTGTACCTAGAGACATTAGAGCTTACCAGTAATGCAATTCCTGGGAAATTCCTGTCACCAATATTTTTTTCACTAGATTGTAAGAATTAATTCTGATCTTTTTTATTTTCTGGCTTAAGCTTGTTACTAGATTGTATGAATGAATGCAGAATATTTTTACTTAAATTTGTACAATGAAACATTTTCAATGTTGAAGTTTTTTAAGTTTTCCAAAATTATAGACATGACAACATAATATATAAATTTCTGTTAAAAAAAACAGGTGAAATATGAAACTGCATTTGTTGATGAGTGTAATTATACACAAGTTTTGTCCATTATTTATGGTAAAACAAGTACTGTTCAAGCAAAACTGTGTCAAATAAGATTGGTACCAAAATATGAAAATGTTTTATCAATTGTCATTGTATTAAGACTGAGTAAAATTTCATTTCCAGCCACTCTGTTAGATTTCAGTGCTTTCTTATTCAGGGGACTTGTTTTTGATTTTGCACTTCATACTGATGCATTCACTAGGGTCCCTAGATTGGCGGGGATCGTGATGGTCCCGTCCTATGATTGTCACTGGACAATGATGAATTTGACCAGTGGTCAGGGTTTCTGTATTAACCCAGTAACTGTGGGTCTTGTCAATAACTGTCAAAATTGATGTAAAGTCTTCATGTTCGCTGCTCATCAGGCACTGATCATTAAGTCTGATGATCCGTACAATGATTTTAATGATGATAGACCCTCATGGCTAATAATGTCTTCTTCTGATTACAATACATGGATTTTTTGGTCTCTTTCTCATTTCTTTCACTAATTTAAAAAGTCAGAAGGATTAATTGTGAATCTTTAGTGTGGTGTGAAACATTTTAAAGTTTAAACCAATTTATGTAAAGAATCTAAGGGACTAGCCTTGATTTTATTGACTTCCTATATGTAGAGGAAATATAAGCTAAACACTGGTGGGGAATCTCTTTTCTCAACTGATGAAAATTGGAATTCATAAGTGGAATCACTGATTGCTGCTGCTTTAAAAGCTTGAAAAGATAGATATAGTTGAAAATTCAAATGGCATTGCAGTATTTCAATGTTCTGTCCAGACTACAAGTTTTCATGAAGACTTCTTTGAATGTTTTTGAAAAAATAGACAAGTTAATTTGACCATGTTTCACACTGGAGGATACCATACGACCAGGTAAATCTATTAATTACCATAAATTTCAAAAGTTGTATAAAGAGACATTTAAAAAAAGGAAAGGATGAATGATTGCTAGCTTACTAAATTTTGTAAATTGTCAATGCTAGACAGTCATAATATTGTTTTGAAATGCTAAATGATATGAGTGATTCTTAACCTAGGTAAATTAATATGCATTGCAGTCAGGTAACATTAAATACCTGGAGAGGCACAGGTTTGTAATATTTGATAAATGAAGATGAATTACAAGGCTTTACAGGTGAGTCTCAGGTGAGAAGGGTATACCTGGATATTGCTGAATAATGCCGGGCCCATCTGGTAAATTTGTCCCCTCAAACCCACTCCATCCATCGATTCTAGAAGATCTCTGTTTATTTTATGACTCATATTGATTTTTTGTCAAAAAAAAAATGATACAAAAGTTTGACAGGGTTTAAAATGACAAATTCAAAGTCCTGTAATAGTCAGAGGTCCTATCTGCCATCGTGTTGCATTTTAATTGGATTTGTGATTTAAACATGGATTTTTGATTTTAAGCGGAATGAATAGAAGCTATTAATTTGTCCCAATAAGGAATAACTAAATACTTGGAGGAGTCTAGTGAAATGACTAGTTTTAAATATTCTAAACTTGGACATTTAGATGTGCAAGATAAAATGTGTGAGTTCAAAACACTCGCGGAGGCCCCAGGTCATAGGTCTGCCAGCTGTTAGGGTGATAAATATTAGTGGTCCAGCCCCGGTGAAAGTCAAAATATTGTGGATTAATTATTGGATTTAAAACTGAAATGTTGTGTTGGTCAGGAAAAGCCAGGAAAAGCCCAAGGTAAGAGCAGCACGTTCTTAAAATACTTTTTTAAAAAAAATTTGAGGGAAATGGGTGACAATATTTCTTTGAAAACATACGTCGAGTCATATGTAATGAAAGGTTTGTCAGATTTTTGATTGAAATTCAATTTAAAACTTCACAAGTACTGGTATATGCAGTGGTTTAGGGATCAGAGTTTATCATTCTGCAATCAGAAGTGGGAATCCTTACAGGGTAGTGCAAGGGTTGGAGATTAATTTACTAATTAAAGGCTAACTAACAAGTTTTAGGAGTCTAAAAAAAATTTCCAGCCTGGGTAGCCCATTCTGAGTAAGTTTTTTTTTTTGGTTGTGGTAGAGTGTTTTCCTTGAGATTGCATGTTTGGCCGCTATAGAATCACAATGTTATTATTCTGGGAATGAAATAAAATTGGACATAAGGAGAAGGAGAAGAGCAGCTCTATAATGGATAATGATTATATAACATGCACTTTGGTAATCCACACAGTCAGATAATCCCTTTGTGACGGAATGCAGGAGAGAGTCATATTACCTGTGTCAGCTGTGAACCCCTAGACTCTTGTAATTAAAAGCTATGACTACATTGTTATATGATCTACTCTTCATGCTAACAGCTAAATGAAGAAAAAGACATAAAGATATTCACTTTCAGACTTACTTTCCCATGACGTATACAAGAATTTCACTTTTTTTTAAATAATCATCCATTCACCGCATATGCCAAACATACAATTTA